GTTCATTTTCACATCGTATGCTTTTTTCAGAGACGTTTTCCAGAGCGTTAGTTTTGTGTCATACTTGCAGTTATATATTACACATATTTATAAGGTCAGCATATAATAATAATGTGACAATTACACATATACATGCTTGAATATTTATATTTGGTTAAATCTTGCAGCATATATGCGGGACGACAGTAATAACAGAAAATAGCTTAAAAAAACATCCTAATGGGATAGCTCGATACATGTAAAAAAGTGTAAACTCCTGTAAAAGAATTTGTTTGATAACTTTCCTTAGGTTGCGAATGCTCGTTGTCGATGGTACCGAAAAAAGTTTTTTGTACTGTTATTGAGTAACAGCCTAAAATTCCCTGACGGTTTTGTAAGGTAGATTTCTAAGCCTCAAAAATCCAAGCTAGAGGAAATTACTAAAAACAGAAAATAGTTAAAACTAGAAAAAGCATCACGAAATTGTAAGATCCTGACTTTCTAGAGAAGCTTCCTAGAAATTTGCGTGTTACGGATGATCTCAGCTTAGAGAAGTTACGTTGATTTTGCCCCGTGCCTCTTCTGCCAGAGTAAATGCATTCTACGCAAGGGAAACGTAAAAGGCTAGTTATGTTTATTACAGATATGACGTCGAACAGCCCCCACCTATTTCTTAATAGACGTACTCTAATAGCTTTTTTAGAGGATAATTTCATACAACACACTTGCTCATATAACAACTCTCACAGAAGAATATATCAGCGTGGACGTTGCCGGTGGCCGCCTGGGTATGGCGTATTAACAAACGTGACAAACGGTAATGCAGCCGATTCACGATCCAAAAAAAACACACTATGGGACAAACCAAAGTTTTCCTCCTACGGAATTCACACGGTATGCAACGCTAGCGCCCTACAAACAAAAATTAGCCCAACGCGTGTACACATTAAGAGGTAGCTTCTAGTTTACCTTCGAAGAAATACTCATCCTGAAAGTCGTCCCGTTTTTACTTTTTGTCCACCAAACTGCTAACACGCGTACACAGGCGTATTTAACTGTGGAATGGCTGTGAACACATACATTGCGCCTCCTCCATATACCCCAACAAATTAATAACAAGTTTAACCGTTTTAATTGAATATAGTTATCTCTAACCGAACACGATTAAGCTGTACGGAAGCACGTAAGAAACCTCCCGCCAGCGTGCTTTGTTCCACCTAGAGCAGACGCCACGATGAGGGCTCCTCTTCTTGGCAAATCCCCATTTTGTCAACGAATGCATACAAGCACAATCACGAAAATCCATACACACTAATTTGCTTTAGGTCGTCACGATTAGAGGTTTAATTTAGACAGACAACTTAACTATTAACACATGTTCAGTGCACACATCTATGTGGTTCATTTGTGATATATTTGCCACACTGGGCATACAGCTGAGTAAATTATTCACTGCTTCCGAACATTGTCGCAATGCGATAGAAGTTTCTGTCCTTCTTGGGACATCAGGTCTTTCTCCACGTACATGTTAATTATCAGCATATGGGTATATTAGCATTGTCGCATTACGATTCAATGTCTTTATCCTCCTCGGAAGACCTAAGCCTTGGTTATCTTCCTTCACGTAGATTACCTCAGCAAGAGGTAATAATATTATATGCAATCAATTCGGAAGATCTTCCTGAGCCCTAACTACTTTTGTCGACGCAGGTTATTTCAGCACAGAGTGATATAGAACGTGCCCCTCTCGCCATTTTACGGACGTTCCGTCCACAACACATTACATTCAGCTAATTGACAGAATTCGCTTCGCACGCTTGTTGTCTCATTTGCGAACCTATAGCGAGGGGCTTCCGGCAAGCCCGCTTCCTCATGAGCGTGTGACTTGACGTTCTGTTTTCAATTGATGCATGCGAGGTCTAAACCCTGCCCCAAGACGTGGTTCGATGACCGGTCTCGTCCGTTCTCCCGTTTGCTCGTGCACTTCATCCCATCGCCTCGGCTCACTCTCTTCGAACTCTAGTGGCTCTTTCCAATCAACCAGCTTTCAACACAACTTTTTTGCACGTTCAGTCGTACTTCCACGCACCCCACCGCTGCTGCTGCTAATTTCATTGGTCTTACCTCGTCGCTGGTTCGGGGAAGGAAGGACCTCCCGCTTATTTGCTCTGCGTTATTATGGCCGAAAACGTGTATTTCCTCACACGTAGCTATTACAATATATGGCTTAGTTTTGAATCATTCGTATTGTATATTACTCTGTATGTTTTTTGCTTCGAGCATCCTCATCAATTCATTGACGACCGTTTCAGTGTTATAATGATGGGGTAAGTGATGCCTGTTACCGATTCGGCGCACAATGGAGAGACAGCAACAACACTAGTTAGCGCCCTAATCCTTGCATAGGTCTTTTTTTTGGAGGCTCTTTAAAGACATTTTTTCTTTCAGTTTGGCATACAATGTTAATAGGTTGTTCTTTATCATAAAAGGTTTACTGTTCAAGCCTATTTTAACCCAAAGGCGACTTTAGTTGTTCACTGAAGATGACTTTCCGATTTCTTCCAAAATATTCGCAGTTTTTCCATGTGGATCATCATACAGTGATTGATCGCGGGAATGGTTATCCAGCTACTGGCTCTATTCTACTAAATTGTCTCTATCCGAACGATATCTTAGGCTCAATAAGATAACATTTAAAGACGAGGTAGAAATAAAAAACGCGTATGCAGGGGCCTGCCTCTCGCGGCGATGCTGCGTATGTTACGTCAGTGCCAGTTACGGAAGTTGATTTATTGGAACTCATGCATTTCCTTTTCGCTGCATAGGGCGGAAGAAACTGTTGGGTATGAAAAGCATGGCTTGTTGGAAGCCGTTTTCCAAATGTGCCGATCTGAAACCAATGCTATTAGATAAAAGCTTATTACACTTCGGATGTTCGAAATTATCACTTCTTCAGATACTCCGAACCGACACTACAAACACATGTACATGCGGTATCGCGAAAAATAATTCGCCAACAGATTGAAGCAGAAACACAGTGCCAAGCAAGTGAAGGGAAAGAACAATATGTGTCCTGGAGTTATTTGACGACGTCCAGAAGTGCATTTTTAATGATCCTTCTGTTTGAATCAGGTCACTCGGGAAAACATTTTATGTGGGCACGGATACGATGTTACCGATTGCTCACGAAATCAGATCGAGTGACGTGACAGTCAGACAGGTGCTCCCTGATGCCAATAAGGCTGAAGGACTCAATGTTGCTTGTTCTCGGCTCCCCCAAGCGAAAAGCGATTTTTTTTCTGACGAAAGGATATTGATCTTCGATACGCAGATCAGCGGCCAGCTTGCTCATGATTCAAGCAATACTATAGATAGAATTAATTTTCCGCTCAAAGTTCACGTTTTGGCTGCTATCCTCAGAACGATAGGAGGCAAAGAAGTATGTTCATCTATGTATCTTATAAGCTGTTGTGCGGTCGCAAATAGATAAAGAAGGTCACACGTCTTCCAGCATAACGTGTGGCCTTTTTTTCAGGTTCACAATAGCCGAATCGAAAATATAGTCCTGGAATAGGGCCGCCGTACAGGACAGAGTTGAACTCGTTGGATTACTAAGTATGAGCGAGAATCCAGCATGTCTCGGAACTACGATGCCCTTGAATATCTCTTTATTTAGATTAACTCTTGGACGCAACTCCTTGATACGAGCCGACCAGCTTGTATTCGATGCCTGATAGTTTCTGCGACAGAGACAGTAACCACTGGTGAGATGGTGATAATTGCAGATATAAACAACTGAAAATGTTTGCGCGAACGCAGTATGAACAAACAAAGCGATGGCGGGTAATTGTGGATCGTATACGTAATGGACTCCAATAATAACTTAACTGACTGTCGTGTAGCATGTTTACACAGATCGCTGTTTGTAGAATGTCGAGAAGTACGTCATAGATAGTATATACGTGAGTCAATGCTGCTTGACGATCAGATAATAAATTTAATAGAGCATTTTGTAAGTTAATTATAATTATTGAAGTCCTGAATGCAAAGCGGATGCACTAAATAAATGCACCTACATCATAGTGTACGTAAATTTATTATGCGTATCCTGTTATTAAACCTATATCAGAAGTAACTTCTTCGGATATAACTTATTTGCCTGTGCCGACAAACAAATCTTTATCAAATCTATCAAAAAAAGACAAACACGTAAGGCCTAGTGAGGTTTATTTTCTCATAACAGGCCAAGGTAACAAAAATTCAGGGGCGCAAGTACGTTTATCGGAAAAGGGGACATTTGATGGGTTTGTTACGTCATTCAAATCTAAGCCTTATGCTAAACTTCCGCTTTGGAAAGCCGCACAGAAACTGGCAACAACATAGTCGATCGATATCAGGCAACCAATGAAGTTTCTGATCTTGGTGGGGATCAGCCCAGCGCGAGCACGCCGAATGATAGTGTATCACAGATAAGAAACCTCAAACCTTCTTTCTTGCGTGGTTACACTTTCTAACTATAAGATGATCAACTGCGAGTGTTTCTGTTAAGTAAGAAGTAGAGCAAAGGCCTCTTAGAAAGATCGAATTTTATATGTAAAACTACAGCTATACGAAAGGAAATAATTACGGGTGATAGCAAAACAGGTTTCGTTAGCGGTAAAAAAAATGAAGTGGGCCTTCCACTCAGATCTCGAGAACGATACAGCGCTTGCAATCGGTTTCCTGTAGCGCCATTTTTGGGAATTCGTTCTTGCAAGTTAAGCTATTTTTCGAGAGCTAATTAGGTGAGCTTCCGTAATCTCGATGATCGATTGCGAGTTTTAATTATTTACTTAGAATATTTTTAGCTATAATAGGTAAGATTGAAACTCAAAATATTATGTTATCTAACCGTTACCCACGGAGTTAGCGTCTATACGTACGAATTTGACAAATCTGTGACGTCGTAGATTGGTCTTGATACTGAGTGCGTCAGATATTTCATTGGCGGCAACTAACTAACACAATAAAAACGCGTTAAATGTAGAACCAGCATACATTTTTTCTTTCTAGATTTTTTCGGAACAAATGTTGTAGTGTTTATATTTCTCGTTCTTTGTCCATATCATTTGAAAATTGTACACACTTTGTACAAATATTATTCTCATTCACTGCTTCCCATCTCCTAGATCTTCTTTTCGTGCTGCCGCTGCGGTCGCAGATACAGCGGCGAGCATTTCTTTATCTGCCGTTCACTTTCGTCGTACTAAATCTGCCGTACCGTCTTTCTCTACATTTACCACCCATCCACACATGAGACATTACTTCACGTAATCAATTTGGATCCATTACGACAGAGGACAGACGACCTCGCTGAGTTCCCTGGTTACTGATACTAATAAAAAAAAAAATAGCACTGCCAACGTACACAAAATCCTAGTAAGTATGTCGAAGCTTAACAGTTAGGTGTCATCTTTATAAAAACCGCCTCGTTCATCAAAACTCTAACTAAAGTAATACAATTTTTCGCAAAACTTGAATTTTTGGGCCTTGGTTAATTACAGTCGTTGCATCTTTTCCATCAATAGAACCGACACACAGTATATGCAAATGTCAAGTGAAAGAAAAGAATTGTCTTTGATAGTGAGATTGCGAGGGAGAACTTGTGGTCGACGCTGACGTCGTTGCCACTTTTCTTTGCCATACAACGCTAATCTGTAGTCTCCGTGGCGAACCCACGATCTCATCATCGTCTGCAATGTGCTACGCGTAGACTTCAATAACCTCTATGCACGATGAACATATCCTATCAGACAACAGTCGTTGTGTTCCGTTTTAGCAGAAGTAGCTTTTTCGAAACTATTCTTTGTACAAATGTTAGCGGTGTCATCTTTGACAACGTTTTTCTGCTTGTGTACTTACACGAACTATTTTATGTTCACTTTTTAAACTATCGAAACGAATCAAACAACCTTTACGATAGCTTCCCAAACAGAAACGCTTCTCTCTCTCTCTCTCTCTCTCTCTCTCTCTCTCTCTCTCCTCTACCTCACCTCTATCTATCTATCTCTCTCTCTCTCTCTCTCTCTAACTTTCGAGCAGACCTGATCCGCTAATAATAACTACGGGTGACTAGCGATGACTTCTCACGGATGCAAGAGAATGTAATAATAGTAAGAAGTGTAATAATAGTAATAATAGTAGGAAGATCAAGATAAATCATCACCATCATCATATTTAGAATTTCGTATTTGTTTTGGACCTTTGTTATAAGAACGTACATAGAAATGAAACGTTACGGACATCGGTTTTTACTCGTCAGCACGCACGGCGCCCCATGGTGATTTATTTGCATACGACATATATATGTGTGTATGTGTATGTGTGTATATATATATATATGTATATTGGAGAGAAACGGAAGGATAATCATCAGCATATAAATAGGCCTGCTCAATCGCATGGCTGCAGGTTTCACAAAAACGATTCCCTTCAAAGAAGATATGCCATGCATACACCATGCACACGAGCTAGAGGCCACTGTTTCCACTTTTAGGTCTTGGCAATAATGTTTAACCTAACCAGTAGGTTTCTCACCTTTGTGTGGTCAAATTTTCGTTGCCATTTCGGTGACAATACTTTAGTGGGAAAAGTACCAATGCATGTTTTTGGCAAGAATCATCTGTCTGCTTTCAAACCATTCTAGAGAGAGTAAGAGAGCTACCTTTCACAAATCGTGATCCTATATAACCTTCTTCTACGCACATTCTCTTGCAGCGAGCGCTCTAGCCCGAGGAAACTATTTGAGGTAACTTTTATATATAAAGTTGCTACGCATCCAGTTCTTGTCTGTTTCGAGCAAAAATAAGACATCCTTCATGTTCACTCGCTTGATGCGAGGCCTTAGTGCAGCCTTATTACCGGCCCCGCTGCCAACTCCTCCCAAGGTGCCATCCAAACGGGCCTTTTTTCTTGGTCCGATTGCTTGCAAGGCCGTCATGTTGGCTTCACGTTGACGCATCTCTTCCATTTCGGCTTTTTGCATCTGAAATGGAGCAAATCAGGCAAAAGCATATTTCCATTCCTAAATGTTTTACGGCAACAAAAAAGAAGTTCTTTTACTGACTCAAATCCAACTGTTAAGCACTAATATCCGCTGCATTATCAGCTAAGTTAGCTTACCAGGTTCAAATGATTCGTTGTTTCTAGAAAGCCAGGTGTGCCAGTCAGCAAAGAAAGTCATAGAGTAGATAAATGTAAGGACAGGGGCAGTTAGGTCAAGAAGTTGGTGTGTAAACGTATTAACGTTTATCCGAATATTCCCATCAATGTACCAATACTTTATGGAGCCTGCACCGTCGGCTTTGTTGTTTACTATGTATGGCAGACGACGGTAACATTTGTATGATTGCCGTGCATATAGCTTGTTTAATGCTTCTGTGTTGCTTATACCACCTTTAAGAAGGAATAAAAGGCCTAACTACCTCCTTGGCGCGCTGTTTCAGCTTCAGTTGTTCAGGGTCCTCCATTTTGCTCCGTGATTTGGCAACCCTAAGGAGCATTTCCCGCTCGTGTTCTTCGTGTCGCTTCCTTTCAAGCTTGTCGAGTTCTTCCACGAATCGCAACTGTGCCCGGGGATCTGTCGTTTGCTCAAAACGTGCCGCGTCCGCCTTGAAGGCTGGCGGTTCAGCCCGATGTTCGCTGGCAATGTTCAGCCGTTCTAAATAGCCCTTGAGTTTCTCCTGTACGGCGTGCGAAACAAGCTTAATCACCTCGGGGTCGACGGTGTCTACGCCATGCTTTACGGCTGAAATGGCGGCAAAACCAAATATGGTTGCAATAGCTGAGTTAATTGAACGAAGTCTTGTTGTGAGAGCAGCGTGTGCATCGCTCAAAAGCCATCTCGCCAACGGGAAGGGGCAGAATAAACCAATAAAAGAGATTTACCCGCAAATTAAGGCTATACACTCAGTAATCATATTGATGGAATCGAAACAATCGCGCTTACCTTACACAGTAAAACCGACAAAATATCTACAAAAAGTCGTTACGGTGTTAACTTGGGAGTGCCATATAAAAACAAAGCAACACTAACCAATTTGGGTAATTTTTTTCTCGAGTGCAACACTAAATAGGAACACATCGTCACCACAGCTTCGTGTTGCGCCAACAAGCTCGCTGCTCGCCAAAATCCGCTGGCTTTCCTCTTGCAGGTTGACACCGCCCATTGCAGCGACATCATTGATGTCGTCATCTTCGCGCAAAGCCGATCCGTAACGGACTTTTTCCGCAGCACCCGTGGTTGTTGTCGCACCTGGAATAGTTGCCCCTGCGCCAGCTACAGCTGCCTGGGTAGAGGCGGCAGCGGCAACAGTGGTAGTAGCAACGGTGGCAACAGCTGTGGTAGAGGCCGGCGTGGCTGGGGCCACCGAGGCGGCCGCGGTGGCAGCGGCTGCTGCCGCCTGGGCCGCAGCAGCGGCCGCCTGGGCCGCATTTCGTGAGGCCGCTGGCGTTTTCGGTGTCGCGGGTGTCTTCGGCGCTGCTGGTGGTTTCGGCACCTTAGGGGCGGGTGAGGGCTTCGTTGGTGTAGGGGCCTGTACAACAATACTCTTCGTCATGGCGCCCGTCGCCGAAATGGGATGACCGGCCTGACTCAAAATGGCTCGTGGCGGCGGCTGAAAAAGTAGTAGTAATAGTTCTTGTTGTTGCATAGTAACGGACGCACTGATAAGCGTAAAACCAGTACTATGAGATTTTTGCTTGCGAAAAACCAACTGATTTACTGACTGAAAAAGATAATATGGCTTTAAATTGAATGGACAAATAGAACAACTGTAAATAAAGTTTGCACCTTTAGGTTAATAAGTAAATCTTCATGTATTTTTCCTACTATAACGATTTTTATTTGAATAAAATTATAATTTAGTATTAAGACCGGAACCAAATCAGTTAGCAGATTATATACAAAGAATATGTTTGCCAAATTAGGATCTTTTCTATCGTACTTAAGAATGTAGAATAGATCGATCATTTGTTAGCGGTTCATCATTCCTCTAGGTCTTTACTTACTGTTTAAACTAATGTAATTTCTTTAAGCTATATCCTATGCTAAGCCTCATAACCAATTAAAGAGACGGCAGAAATATACCGCCCATTGCTGCATCAAATACTCCCGATCGCACGAGCCGCTCCGTTTACTTCGAGAAGTTTGGCTTTCACATAAGATTTACATGGCATGGTAGCGCACATCGCAAAACGACGATACCGAGTGACTCTAACCGGGTCTGGTTACGAGGATAATAAGTAGCGAATAAGATTTTTTTTCATAGTGAGGGGTGTATTCAACTAATTAATGGAGCATTTAGTGGAGTTTCTGCCAACTAGTGAAGCCAAATTTGAGGAACGGTTCTCCACTCATGGCCAGAAATAGGCCACCTTTTGTCAATACCCCTTCTCCGCTCAGTCCGTCTACTATCCTCGTGTTTAGTCAAAGGCAGACCGGAAAGCGTTCCCTCTCGCTAGACACCTGTAGTGCGATAATGCAAGATGAGTGTAGGTATTACTTGAATCTAATCTCAAAGTGTGACGGAGATCAACAGCGCAAGATTTCAAGCGAGGCCATATTCCCTGCAAATGTCTTGCGGAAACGCTAACTTCTTAGAATTCACGATTCAGTACAACATTTGTTCGCTGCCGAACGTAGTTGGCTTCAGTTTTCAAATGCCTTTTGTGCGCAATAACAGAACGGAAGTTAAAAATGATCAAAAAGACCTTACCGTCACGGTGACCAGTCTCTGGGGTTGCAGCAAACGAACGGTTGTTGTCGTTGTCGGGCCAGCGCTAGCGGCCCTTATAATGGCCTGCGGCGGTTGCGAAGGCTGCGAAACCGGAGCGGCCACTGTTGTCGTCGTCGTCGTCGGCCCAAGTGAACCTGGAGGTGGCGGTCGAACCCCTTCGATTGAAAGCTCCTTCGTCATCAAGGACTGCCGAAGATGCGGCAAGCTCTTCTACAAGGATGTCAATAGGATTTTGTCACATCGAATGAATACATCGCTACGTTAGGACAAAATGAAAGGAAATTTTTTTCATCTGGCATTCCTGTCAACAAGGATAACTACTCATGAGTAGCTGCTTGAAGGGCATGCTACATGCTAGACAGTGTACTCGTAATAAAGAGGTCGTCTGTTCAAAAGTTGTTACACCGAACCTTAAGGAATGGAACGAGGCAGGGCTGTGGAGAGGAGTTGAGCTCCCGCTGAAGTTGCGTCGTGAAGTCTTCGGGTGGAATGTTACCATCAATCAGACCCTGGATCAGAGCTAAACACGCCAGAATATATAAAAGAAAGCAAACGTGTGCACGTTAGATTCGCTGAGGCGTTACTTTGTATGGGGTTCTTCACTAGAGAAAAACAAAACATGAAAAATATACATATATAGAATTCAAATACATGTTTCAACTAAGCTACGACTGTGTATATCGTGTAGCAATACCTACCGTACAGACGTGCCATTTGTTCTGCGAGGTACGTGTTAGCATTTAAGCATCTAGTTACATCGAGAATGTTGATAATCTGTGAAAGCATTCGAAATAACCTACATACTCATAGAGGCTGGCTCTCGTCTTTTCTGTTTAACATCCTTACCCTTGACGTTAGTTGCTGTCTGCACAGGTTGATCAGACGCAAGGCGTATTAATGTAGCAAGAAAATTTTTACATTTCTTCTTAGCCGTGTTCGGCGACATCTGCGATGCTGTATTTTGTTGCTGTTGTTGACCTCCACCAGCTGTTGTTGCTGGCGGTTGATGAGCGGTTTGCACCGTGAGGGGCCTGACTGCCGGGGCAGCCATAGTGGCTCCGGCCTGCATTGTGACCTGCCCCTGTGGCTGATGAAGGACCACCTGTGACGTGTTACAACGATTGAAAAACACGCGAGCCAAGGCCCAGCCGCAGCGTATATGACGATTTCAAGTTGCACCCGAAAAAACGTAAGCCAGCGTTGGAACGCGGTCATCGCCGGCAGAATCAGCATTGGCAGACAAACCAATGAAGTAGATGACGAGGAAAATAACCAGATAGTCAAAGGCCGTGAAACAATTCAGAAGCACAATTAGATCAACACACCATTTATATCAGGTCAGAATTGAATGCTAAATAAAAAGTACTCTAGGTAATTTTTCCAAGAAAAACGAAAAGCCATGACTTGACACAAGTTTTGAAAACAGGATCATTTATCAAGACTTACATATATAATGGATCACAAGTTGAAATATGTTTTCTTCCGCTTAAATAGATTTTTCATGATAAGAAAAACGATTTCAGAGTCTAAATTAATAATTGCTAGCGTCAGGTTCATAATAACCTATCTATAACATACAGCATGCCGCATGATAAAAACATAATGCGCACAAGTGCTAGACAGACATCTTGCATTCTTTCGCATCGCTGAAGTGCACGCAACAACGCGTAAACAATGGAAAAAGGGCAACGAAGTTCACAAACGTCATAAGTCACACTCGATTTACAGCCAAAAACAAAACAACATTGCTGAGGGTGACCAGGACGAAGCTTTGTACAATGAGCTGCGTTGTTGCATAAGGATCTCCCGCAAAAGCAGGCAAGCTTTGTCTTGAGCCTGTTTCACCTGTGGGTGAAAGAATGGACACAAATAGGGTAGATACTAGAGGGTTCGCTAGGAGGGAATTTTTCGGTTGGAAAAAGGAGTTCGCTGTGATTTGGGTCAGTATGAGGAGAAACAGTGCGATGAGGGTAGACCGAAACAACTTGTGAAAATGGTTTGCTTTAAGGTCTATAAAAGCTAAGCATAAGTTCCTGTGTCGATGGGAGCAGGAAAGGAGTAGGTCGCAGCCGAGTGAATGTGCGTCAGATCTTTTCTCCACAGGGAAAACCCATTGGCGCGCAAAGGATATGAATAGAATGAAGAAAATGCTTTCTTGACAGCAGTATGGTTTACGATGTATGTATCGTGTACAGTGTACATATATATATATATATATATATAGATATATTAGTATGTGTCCCTAGACGTTAACGTTTTTAGGATGCAACGATCTTACGAAGGGGAGACTGATCAAACATTATACACACAAACGGTAAGGAAATTCATTCGTTCTTTAGGGCCGCCAACACTGATGTCACTTGCTAAACTGTCAACCATTAGTCGTGTCCAAATCAGATATTGTTACTAAGTCTCAGTTGAGTAAAGCATCACGAAAAATCCATTCTGAATTAGCAAACAGATCGAACGACACGTCGATGAGGAGACTAGACTTGTATTATTATTCGATGCATTGTACTACTAACAATATCGAACAGTGTCGAAGAACGTCTACCCTACTAAAAAATACGAAGAGGGACGGGATTACCCATACCGTTCACTTATCTATGGCTTATAATAGGTACTTGTTTTTAGTTATTTTGCAAACGTTGAGCCTGCATGCAGCTTCTACTTGTTTAACGCAATTATATTCTATCAGGCAAGAGTAAGCTACGACTACGCAAAAATGGCCTAAGTAGCCCGGCCTCTCCACGTCAAATCAGCGACACGTGTCACCGACAATTTGTCTACGCGAGTGGCAAGGAGTAACAATAATCCAGCTGGAAAAAAGGTGTGTAGAGCGTGAACTTCCACAAAAAGCGGCGGGAGAGTTGCTTGCTATCGCTTCTGTTGTCTGATGCCGTACCAATATGATATTTTTATATGATTTTGTTATATGGACAGATAATTTCACCAGAGTTCCGTTATCGTGTTTTCTGCTTACTGTTTTTTGCTGTTCACATGTACGTTGTTTCGCGTTATGGTGAAGTAATGTTCGCTCTAGATAGTAATATTCTCTATCGCTTTCAGTAGTCTCTAAGAGGGTATTTGAGATGATTTTTGATGCCGATGATTTGATTCCTGATATTCGTTGGTATACGTTCGTTAAATCGTTTGCGAGCAGAGTAGTAGTTGTTGCTGTTGATAGTGATGAGGGTAAATGGAATTATCGCCTACCTGGGTGGGAGGCGCAGGTCGCCTGGCCACTTGAGGAGCAGCAGTCGTCGCCACGGGAATGGTGGTGACCCTCTGCTGGGCTGGAAGCGTCATGTTGACCAACTGGATCTGTCCCGACTGGTCGTGCCGCATGATCAGCGTGCCAGGCCGAATCTGTACGCTCGGCTGGAACGTGATCGTGTTCTGCACTCGTGGTACGTGGCATGTCACGCGGGAGGAGGGAGGCAAGGTCTAAGTCAGACACACAGACATCGGATACTCGCAGAGCCGGATAGCATAGAGTCGAGCGTGCAGATGCACTCACATGTTTGTATTTTGTATGTACAGTCATATATATATACATATTGCGAGAGAGAAGTGTATGCGTATGTACAAGAGAAAGAAAGAGAGCAAAGAAAAACGTACGGGACGAGAGACGATGGAACAAAGACTACAGCGACACGGAGACAACTGAAGCGAGATTGAACTTTACAAATGGAGTATTATTATTCACTCAGCACCGATGTTACCGAGAACCATTTTGGAATGATTGTAGAATGGCGTCGTAAATGCAGTGTATCAGTATGAATTTTCTAATCTTTGTTATTTGGCTACCGAGAGACGGGATGACAGGTTGTTGTTTAGACTCATTTTGACTTTGTTCCCCATCTTATGCAAGTGATATCTATGTACAGAACACTTGTATAGCGGGAAGCTTCAGCAGCAGCGACCTCAACCGACAAGTGCTTTGAGTTATTCATTCGACACCAGTCCTTCGACAGACATCCTCGCGTAGCTGCAGCTGTAATGATGTTAAGGTCTAATGAGCATGATGGGGCCGTTTGTCGTTACATTTTCCTTCTTGCCAGATGTAGGCATCCTTTCTCATTTGCCCCAAGGCTCATTGTTGACAAAATCAGTTCCCGTAGAGCTCTAGACTTTTTTTCCAATTGTAGAAGATGTACAATTGCGCAAAAAAATAATTTTACAATGCCAAGTTGTTTCAGGAGAACACGTTGTTCCACACTTACGGGTAGATTAGAAAGAACTGCACGGCGATGAGGGCTAATCGCGTCTTTTTTGCCCCTAACCGTACCTACAGGAACGGTGTAAGTAAACTGCCGCGAACCTAAGTGCTGGCTGACTAAGCACGCTACTATATGCAAACGTTATTGCTTCCTCATGAACGAAAACGTTCGTTGAATAGCGGTCGGCACCAGTACCATAATATCATCGCTGTTTCGCTGAGCCATCGGCGCCTGCATGCACATCCCTAACGATGCAGTTTCTGCCGAGGTAACACACACTGTCCACCATTAACATACGTAGCTCACACACAACGAAATAATTAGATCGTGCTTGCCGTTCATTCACGGATTATAACAATTGAACTGTGCCGCACAGTAGTACGCTTCCACATTACGCCTTAAAAATTCGTCGCTTTTCTTCCTTTTCTTCTACCTGATCTTCTTCTCTTGCTTCTTTTTCCTTGTGGAAAATAATTGAGTGTTTATATACACATATACATACATATATATACACGAACATAGAAATATGTTCCCTATGTAGAAAGGTTGTTGTTTTCCTGCGGCTGCTGCTGCTGTTGTCTGCAGTGAGAAGGCAGGGGGGAGCTCAGGACGCGCCGCCACTGCCCACCCCTAGAGCACGCGAAAGGGCAGAGAGCTGGGGACACAGTAAGACCAACACCCGGATTGAGAGTACGACCAACAAGAGTAGTGGTAGTAGTAATGGTAGCAAACCAAACAGGAACGGGGGCAATGGGTTTGGGGGAGACAGGGAAGATACAAAAGGGTATGGCTGAAACGGATTGTTTATTGTGTACGACGAAGGGAGCGTCACTTTGAAGGACATCATGTATTTTATGGGAGTGGAAAAAGGATATAGAACAGAACGAGATAGGCAATACAAAAAGCCTTCAGTTGAGTCGGCGCGGGGAGGCATAACTAAAAAAAATAGTTACAGGGCAAACGGGAAGAGGATAATAACCAAAGGAAAGGGATCAATTTTAGAGACAATAACTCCAGCAAGAGTTAGAACAAGGGCAAGGGAGGAATAAAATTCCTGTTTTAACGCTTGGTTTGAAGCGTTCATGATAAAATAACATTAGTATATACGTACGTAAAATTCATAAAGTGGTATAGTTAACAAGCACAGCAATGTCAACTTAAGAACGTCAACTAAAAAAGGCGAAAGAGGGGACGCCATCAGCGCAACTAGCGACCAGCCAGGCCCTACTGCTTTCATCACTGGCGTCTATTTCCTGCAACTTCAAGTCAGTGGAGAGATTTGACCACCTTATTGTACGCTTGGTAACATGTGTGAATCGCCTGCGCGACTTATGCACTTCACACTATGGGTTGTATAAAGCTGTAGCAATATGGCATCGCGTGAAAAGATCAACGCAGGTTACCTTTTTCTGCAAATGTCAGAAACACCGTTGCGGATATCAGCTTCGATCGACAGCGTACTGAAATTTGATAGACCACATGAACACACTGGAGCAAACGGTGTTGAAAAACAATAGTGAAGATTGAAAAAACCAATAGCAATATAAAAAATACTGGCAACACGAAAAACGTCCAGTTGGAAATGAATGTACGGGGGCATCATTTCTAGCTCGCTGGATGTCTATTCACAATATATGTTAATGTGCTTTTACTACTGTTGCTCCGCTTTATAAACCGCTGCTACACTGGCCTACGCATAATATCACCGACGCGTCGATATACACGCATCCATAGCCTACTTCATCCGTGATTCATATAAAAATACCACCAACCGCAAGTCGGTGAGCTGAAGCGATATAAAGTACAAGGTAAGCTTAGCTAAGTAGATCGATCACACAATGCCAAAAAGGAAAGTTTACCATACAACCTTATATGCAAGGTCGGTAAATGTTGGCGCAAAGATTGCTCACTACGACGTTTCCTCTATAGCCGGTCAGCGAAACAGGTTTCTTGAAGCAATTGATGTTAGAAATCAAATTCTCTGTTGGTCTATTGTTAACTTTAAGTTCAATCGAAGTCAAAACGATTCACGAAATCGTGATAATTTGATTTTCTATAGCTTAGTTAATCAAATTCGTTCCCTATAAAACGATAGTAACGGTATAGAGAAGTAAGCTATATCTGCTTATCCAAAAAAGAATATTTCTCCGCCAAAAAAAATACTTTAAGAGGAAGACCGGAATCCAAAGGCAACTTTTTAGAAGCCAATAACACCATTAATTCCTGGCCTGAAGAATTTGTAATCAGAAGAGCAAGTATTTTTTGAAAATTAAGTAAGTATACAGAACATGAATAATGTAATCCTAAGAAGAAGCATGTAAATTCACAAGTAACATGAAACAGATTCGTGGATGGTAACAAATTTATTAATTTACTCTTTTCGTTCTCAATGTTCTTCAATAGTTCTTAAGAACACTGAAGTATTAGATGTTTCTCCTTAATCCACGTGTCCCTTATTCAAAAATGAACCAAAACCAAATAGGATCAAAAATAGAGCTCCTGATCTTTGATATCAGTTAGGCAAATCAGTCAATCAATCTACCGGTCAAAGTAGAGTAAATAGCATATGGGAAAGTCACTTTTAAGGGATTTATAAAGATATAGAAATAATCCTATTTTCAAGGTGGCTCCAGACGGATATCTATGCCCTGTGTATCCGCCGTAAGTGGTGATTTTTAGTTAGCACCTATAGGTGAGTGCGTGTACAACAAGCGATTGACTCAGTCGGTTGTGCTAGCAATAATAATAATGCTAAAGGAGGTCAATTCAAGGGACGATGGTGCGATGCCGCTAAGGTGAAAGCTTGAGTGCAGTGGATAAACCCTGTAGCGTGTAGAGTAACCGCGTAGACAGGAAGCTAATTGCTCAAGATAATTGTCAGCAGACGCTAGAGAAGAAAAAGGATAACAACAGTTAAAACAGTGGCGCGAAAGCATTGTAACCCTAGAACTAAGGACGGGTATCACGGGAATCAATATGGCGCAAGGGCAGGAAAGGGATAAGGCGTGGAAGAGGTACAGCGATAAAATCAATTCGGTGTCCATATTCAAACGAAGAAGGCTGAAGCTAGCGACTTTCAATGAATCAAACAATAGAAAATGATTGGCCGTTGGTCATTGCGCAAGAGAGCACTTCGTCTACAATGATGGGTGACCCAATAAACGCTTATGCGACAAAGCAAAAAACCGTTCTAAGTGCGTTATGTAGCATTGTTATAAAATATTTTGTCAATAATTAATAAAGATAAAACAATAGAGCGAAATCAATTCTATCAATGCATTAAAAAAACTCGAATGGGAAGAATAAAAGAGAACGTAAAATAGGCGCAAACAGAAATGTTGAGTGCTGTGCTATTCGTTTCAAGAACGGGTATATATACATATATATATGTATATATACTTATATACATTTTTAGCAATCGACCGCAATGAGGAGAGGGTCGGGCGTAAAGTTTAAAGCTCGAGAAAGGGGATGGGGGTAGGGGGTGTTGGGGCATAAAAAGAGTAAGAGGAGAGAAGAGGACTGGGCGTCGGAGCGTTAAGATCAGAGTTTTTGCGATGCGTTTGCAATTTGGCTTGCCTTTGCTATTGCATTTATAATTGCTTGAGCACTGCTTGCGTTCGTTTGCAGTTGCCATCCAGGTTTGCATAGGGAGGCGAGAGACGCTTACTGTCGCCGCCTTGAACATCAGCCTCCTATAAAACTCCCCATCCGTGCGATCCAGGCATCGTCGCCACGCAACTCCTTGCAGAACCTAGCGCCGTGAATTTCTATAGATTGATCATTACTACTCGGTATATCTGGATAAGGCCAAATTATCATTGTACAGAAGACCTGTAGCAGCAGCATTGGCGACGATGCATGGTAGATGCAGGGGGTGCTTATTCAACTCGAGGTACATGGGGCACGGAAGTTATGATGTTCGTCAAGGCTAGCAGCACAGTGAAACGCCTCCCCCTCGATTCAAGGACGACAATCACAATAACGACTAGATGACAACTTGGTGAGAATGGGTGTTGGCACAGTGAACCCACGTTATCTGCTGTTTCATAGATTTTTTTAGGTTTTTTTTCGTTCTGATTACTCACGTCCTCTTTGCGGTGGCCAGGTGGCACGCCTACTCCTCCTGCACTACTAGCACCACCTGTAACGCCATTAGCGGCAACTAGAGACGACGCCGATGACGGTGGCGGGGTAGAACTTGCCGAAGAAGAAGAAGACACTCCCGGCACCACAGCTCCTCCTATTATACTGGGGCCTCCCGCGCCACTTTGCACCGCCACTTCGTGAGACCCGGAGCTGGTTGCGGGTAGAACTGTAGCAGCAGAGTGGTTAGTTGCTTGATGGTAATGTGGCTGCTGCTGGGAGTAACCGTTTACACTGGTGATCGCTCGCAACATCATCGCTTCGCCTCCACCGCGCCGCGACGTGTGCGTTGGATGTGGATGGACGATAGTTGAGTGAGGATGTATTGAGGCTACGGAGTGAGGCGACATTGCGCCTGTCGCTATACGTATGGCTCTTCCCGGAGGTCCCCCCGGGCCCATCGGCATCACCCCGCCACTACCCCCTCCGCCTGGCCCAGCGCTTCGACCCCACGTAGCAGGCCCCATTGATGAAACTGGCACCCTATGGGCTAAATGGACGAAAGGTGAGGAAGCGGAAAGTCGGCCCCATGGTGTAAGAGGCTGTATCGAGTACGCTCCAGTGCTTCTACCCGAACTACTCACTATCGCTCGGCCGTACGTCGATACAGCAGCATGGCCACTGGCGCCAGTTGCACCAACGACAGAAGCGGCAGAAGTCCCGCCAAGCTGCTGTTGGTGCTGGCTAGTGATTACAGGAGATGAAGGTGGGGGCATAACAGTCGAGAGACCGGTCGGATGGTGATAGCTGGCAGCTGTGGGGTAACGATGGTAAAACGATGGATTACTGTACGAGGGCTGGCCAGAGTGACCAGAGGCATCACCGGTGGAGGAATGGTGTCCTCCGCCATGAGGACCGGAATGGTAGCCAGCATGAATCTGGGTTTGGCTCGGATGACCAACGGGGTGATGGCCAGCGCCATGTGAAGAGCCCCCACCCGAAATGTGGAGAGGCTGATGCCCATGTGAACCATTACTATTGCTTCCACTTGAATTATTACCACTGCTGGCATCCGTGCTCGTACTAATGCTGTTATTATGGTGATTATGATGGACATGAGCGTGATGATGACTAGAGACGGTGCCGTGACTAGAGACTGGATGTGTATAATACATCTCCTGTGGGGCAGAATTCATTGGAGGCTGAAACGGAGGAGCCGATGAGACTAAACGGTAGTGGGGACCTCCACCGGGGTGCGTGGGGATACTACGGATATGATTTAGGCCCGCCGCCGCTGCTGCTTCTGTTGCTGTTGCTGCTGCTCTTGCCATAGATGAACCAAGTGGATGAGGCCCGCTCGAATGGGGGCCAGCCGACCGCATCGACTGCTGCGACGGATGGTGCTATATGGATCGATTATATAAACCCAATCAATCAATCATCGAGAGCTAAACAGATAGACAGTCAGCCACAATCAGGCCAGTGGTGTGGGTCTCTCTTATTCATGACACATGGCAGAGCGCACTCGCAACGGAAATACTCGTCATATAAGAGCACATAGGATCTAGACGCCGCATCTACACAAAAAAAGCGATGAGACGACCCAAACGGCGTATGGCGTTCTTGCCTGTGAGCCATTCTCAGATGGCCAAAATGCAACACCGCTTAAAAAGAGAGTGGGCCAAAAATGTAGCAACTGACATCTTGATATATATATGTATATATATATATATAACTTTCTGAAATAAGAATACACACTAAATGTTTTGTAATTGGGTAACTGGTGCAAGCGCGGGAAAGAGAAAGCAGGAAAATTAAAAGTCGCCGTTTTCTGGTGGGAGCAGTCGTACTTCAGGTAGTCTCCGTACACACATATTTCATGTGCGATGATAATCACATACACGCAAGTAATTACGATATCTCTCTAGACAATTAAGATAAAAATTGTTAAATAGGACCTATAGAATTTCTTCGTTATAGTCTACATATGGTATTACCTACAATGATAACGATGTTTCTACACGATTTTTCACAAATACTAGTTGCATTCTAAATCAATGATTGTATCAATGATCGAATCGATTGTATATACAAAGTGCGGCATCCAAACTCAGATTCTTGTGGGTTATTATATATGCTACAATAAGAGTGCCAGTTTTTTCTAAAACAAAATAACCAATCATCAAGGTAAGGAACAGTGGGTCGTTTTTGCAACTTCTAAGATACCTGAAGAGGATTTCTATGAGGTAAACTGGAAGATCCTCAACAGAGCCCGAGTTTAAGGGCCTCAAAAATTCGTTAAAAATGTAATTTTTCATACATTTGGATCTTTTTGATACAGAAATTAATACCGTTCTAAAGAACAGAGTGTCAACTATCATTTGGGTCGTCTAGACAAGCTTTATGGTGGATCTTAGAATTTCATATGCTGTTTGGTCTCCTTGGCCATTTTTAGCTTTTTATTTTTAAAACCTTTGGTCTACTACCAGCTTTAAATTTAGTTCCTAAAATAATGTTTGATCTGCGTATTATATTTGGGAGGCACTTTACCAGTTAACACCTACCAATATCGCACGTTTCCTCCTAGTACTACTACAAAACATTTCTACTGTCAAACAATTTGTTTGCTCCAAAACGACTTATGAGCAGTTCAGATACCAAATCGAACTTACAACCAGGGTGAATGATAGTTACTATCGAAAAAACACGATCGTCAGTAATGGCGGGTTTAGTACGCGCAAAAGGCTTAAAAATAATTTTTTCCAGATAATGTCTCAGAAACAGTTAATAAAAAGAACGGATATAGATGCCGCATTATGTATATAACAAGGAGATAAAACATGATGTTTTCACTACTATTACTTTAGAAAGCATGCTCTTTGATTGTAAATACCTCTAGTACACTAATCTCCCACTCAAAAGGCCTGAAGACACATAATCTTAGCTAGTTAACAGTAAATAAGAAGCCTACTAATCCAGAATATTCTATGCAACTATTAAATAAACGGGAGAGCTTTTCTGAGAACTACAATATAATCTGACAGTGTGAACGACCAAAAGAATGGAACAAAAAAGCAATCGTGAGACCGTCTAAGCTTAAATAAATCTTCTATTCTTTGTCTGAAAGGAGTCGAGTCCGCAAGCAATTTTTTGGCGTATGCTGGTTCAGGATACGGATTAGCGTTACAGAGACTCATCTGAAACTTGTCGGATAAGTTTTTTTCAGTTTACGATAACGTATGTATACGCAAATTTGATCATCTAGTAATTATTACCGCCTCAAGTTAACTGTAGTTATTAATTGACGTAAAGGAAAGCTCTCCCGTACATTCTCCCTACTAAAATAGTTCTCTAGTAACAATGGTAGTCCCAACATGGTGATGATACTGATAATAGCAAAAGGCACGATTTGTAGTCGTGTAACTAATAACAATATGCCGCTATCGGTAGAATGTGTTAGGTTTTCATACCCCGGCACGAAGCATCTGTGGAGCCGATGTCGCCATTCGAATCTGCGGTGAGAGAATCACACGAGGTGGTGCAGGCTTTAGGTTTCGTTGAACATTAACCAGTTGCAGACCCGCCGGTTGTTTCGGTTCACCGTCTGGTTGTACCTGAACCTGAATCTATAGACAGGTTTTGATAAAAACAACAGCGACAAATCAGAGACAAATATAATACGAACTATGTATTAATTGATGATTATTTCGTATAAAGGTATAGGCCTCGTAGCTTCTCGTGATCTAATGCTACAAAAAACATCTAGCACAAAAAAGTAATACTATTTCTTCTATCACAAACAACTTTACATCTTATAGATAAAGATAATGAAATAATAAAAAAAATCTTTCAAAATTGCTCTTAAGTTCGAAAGGCAACCATTGTCATTAAACTCTCGATCCCTGTTAATATGGAAAATGTTAGCTGCGTTCGTGCATTTTAGAAATGTAGCGCTTGCGTAAACATAGATTTGAAAGGTAGCCTATCCGAAATCTTCGGGCTTGCGTGGAAAACGTTTGTTTGTGGTTTAGAAGCACTGCAATCCACTGATTAATAAAAGATATGTATTTATAGCACCGAAGAGTTGTTCACGATCATGGAGTTCTTTGGACGACAAAGCTAAACCAAAGTTGGGAACATCGAAGCTATGCATTGGCCGTAGTAATCTAGTCTCGGCTTAAATAAACTTGAAAGAGAGTCGCTTTTGTGCAGCAACTCAACAAACGCCGCCACATCATCTAGTTTTTCCTAGCCACCATATTACCACCACAACGATGTCTATCTATATGGACCTATATGGATCACTGAATCCACGTTTTCCTCTCCACACAACATCTGTTTACAAATGCCCTGCTCACAATAGAGAATAGATACGCAAGGATTGTACTGGTATGGCTTCTTTTTTCTTACATAGGAATAATCGTCGTTGTAATAGTCAGAATGACGAGGGTGATGTTCGTCGCCTGTCGTGATTCTTGGCGAATCTGGATTATATGGCCTTAACGGGCTAAATAGGCTTGATCGATGATACCACGCCATTTCCAGATTCGAGCTTGACTTCATTTGCGATTATGACCGGTTCAGCATGTTAACAGCAACTGAGAACTCAAGGCTTATGCAAATCAAAAGCTGAGTCAAGTCTACAACTAATCTTTAACAAGATTTCGACTTTCTGACGCATCTAAATTTTTGCAGTATGTGTTCGAAGACTTGTTCGTTTGTTTGTTCGTCTAAAGCGAGCAATCGTACTGCAATCGGTGGCCGCCGATTTCTACCATTGCCTCTGATGCTTGGGTGGAGAGAGAGATTCCTTTCGAAGGCACTCGATCAGGACAAAGTCGGGTGCTGTTTGGCGGGGCCGGGAGTAACTCGTCATCGAACGGCATCTCGAAATCTGTTACAGTAACACGCTTACGATGACTCCTCAAGAAACGCTACGTGGCAATGGACGCGGCAAAGCACAGAGGAAAACGATACTATCCAACGTTGATGGCGACTGTCAAGCGCAGTAGAGCGTTAGTAGAGCAAAATATACATAAAGCATGCAGCCGCTACCGCCGCCGCTGCCGCTCCCGCCGTCGTCGTCGTCGTCGTTGCCTCCTGTAAAGGGGTGCCCGCCTTACAGCAAACTGTACAGCGAAGTTTAGCGAAAACCGAGTACTAACAACTGAAGCTACGAGCGAACGGCTCAAAGAACGTCGTTATTCATTTCGTGGTCGTTTCTACTGTAGCTATATAGGGCCAACCATTGCTGTCTTGTTGTTCCACGGTTATAATAGCGTTGTGGCATGCCAGGAGGCCATACCGTCCACGCAAAGAACCCGTCCTGAGCTCCAACTTAGTAAAATACCGTGCGTCGTCCTTTACCCTCCCCTTTTCCATTCCCCGTGGCGTAGTCCAAGCGCCATCGATTTTTACTCTCCACTCTCTCTTCATGTATGGATAAGCCGCTTGTAGGTGGAAGGAGGGGCATATTGCGGGAGGGTAAGGGGGCGTAAAGGAGCAGTAGTAAGAGTAGCGCAACAACATCAACACTTGGCCCATATGGGCTTAGAAATTCGCGACGTAGAGTTATTTTAAACCCCACATTACATAGGCATAATTGTATATCACAGACCATTGCTCGCCCCCCCAGTTCGAGTTGCTCATGGTATGCAGGCACTTACTGTGTAAGTCGAGTTCATACATCTTTATAAATATATAAATTATTTATTATTATCCGTACAGGTGCCGTCGTATTATTGACAGCTGGCACGCAGCGCTTACCCTGTACAGCATGCAGGTTCACGCAGCAGCAGTGTTATGCCAACGAAGGGCGGCGTGGGTGGAATAGGAGAACGAAACATAACTTTTAAAGCTCCCTTTTCTACCTTCCTCTACTAGCCTTCTGTAGCGACGACCGTCTACAGAAAAAGGCCTTGATTGCTGTACGAGAGCTGCGGTCAAGTAAGCTAGGCCCTCTACTCGCTGGTTGGAGGCCGACCGCAGATGGAAAGCGCCAACGGAAATAAAGAACGGAACACGTTTGGCGAGCTCTGTCGAACCGAGTAGTGGCTCCACGCTCAGTGTTCCAACAGCATCACAATGTCTGTTGTCGAATTGACGTGCGACGACGTCTCTCCCAGACTCCGACGAAAAACAAAAACTATGTTGAGCAATAACAGCAGATAATATTATTTTAACGGAAAAAAGCGGCTTTAGAGTATCGAATTGAGGCCTAGTAAGTTTGTCCACTTAGTGGCACTCGTGAGAAACAGTTGTGATTGATTTCAACGCATGGGTAAGCGGGTTCCCTTCACGGACGATGTTTTCCCATACCGCTGGCTCAACGCAGAAGGACAAAGAACAATAATTGTCTCCTGTCTAGCGCAGCAACAACAGAGGCGACTATTCATGATTCATCGGAGCGATGAGCGCCTAGCTTTGCCGAAACGGAAATTCAGTTTATCGTCTAACGTTGCACCGGCGTTTGCCCATTTGCACAGCAAAACTGCTGCGTCATAGTGGTTAAATAAACTAACCCAAAAAGGCGCACCACGGTCGAGTTGTCTATGTATATACATTTACAAAAATTTAATATTTCACATCGGGTGTCGCCTAAGTGCTGGCCATCACGCGCTACCCGTTGTAACTAGTCGCACTACCATAACACGGGTAGCAAAAAAAAAAAACTTAGTGAATGTAATTCGACCAGGGAGCTCGAATAACGTTGATTTTTCGTGTCAATCGGGTCGATGACCCATAATAGTAAGCGACACGGTATTGAAAGGCAACCCAGCATTACTGGGAACGCGAAGAGCGGCGATTGGATTAATGCTAGCGACAGACATATGGTGACATCATAGGCACGATATTCAGTTTGATAAATGAGTGTTAAATAAAGTTTTCTGTTTATATATTTAGAAAGGCGGAAAATTTAATCCATAAACTCGTTAAATATTGCAACCTTCTTATGATAAAATAAAGTGGATGATCAATGCTTGCAATAAAATGATATAATGAGATGCGCATTTAGGAACCCTCCATAGCACATTGAGACACTGAAGTCATCTATTTTGGTTTGCTAAATCTAAACTATTACACCAAAATAAAAATTTTAAATTGCAAAAAAATCATACAATCTTCTGACGAGCTTTGTAATATTTTAACAATTGTTAAATACTTCGTCATATCGGTCAAATGTATCTTTCTTCAAAAACAGAAGTTAATCAAAAGAAAAGAAATGTATGAATAACTTCTACGCTCCTACGTAAATATTAGATTTCACAAAAGCTGAGTTCCATGAAGTTCTATTTAGACTACAATGATTTACGATTGTTTTGTCTTATGTCTCCCAAAAAATCAGCATTTAAGCCTGGGCGTCTCTTTCGCTACCGAGACAGATATAACAGGAACATCAAGTGTTTTTTTTATGGCCCCGTACTACGTAATTCACTTTGACGTACCCATAACTCAGTAGATTGACGAGAACTTCAACCTATTATTTGGTGCAAAGGACGCAAAATATCCCTACCAAAAAACTTTGCCATGAACAAGGGTGTCGTCATCTTTCAGACTACAGAGGTCCCCTTTACGCAGAATACGATATCAGCATTCTAAGTAGACCTTTTAGCTTTCAGCAGCTTTTCAAGCAAAAAACCGGATTAAGGGCACCACAGTCAGTCCAACTATTTATATATAAGATCACTATCGTATACTACTGAAATCAAACGCGCGCTAGCGAATAGCTGATGAAATACAGATTTGGTAATGGTAACACGATGTAAAAAAATATCGAAATTCGAAAACTGACGCTTAACGCGCGCCATAGTTTTTTCTTCTGTCTAACACTTACGTCTGCATCAGTATCTATTTTTAAGGCAAGAAATTTCGTAATCGAATAGCAGGAAGGATAGCCAGTTCCGTTACAAATCTCGTTGAGATCTAAATAGTACGTGCCACAATTACTAATTAAACAGTAGCCAGAAGTAAATATCATATATCCCCAAAATCCAACAGCAGCTTTTGTTAATCCGATAGGTGGTCGCTTTAAACTTCAGCGCCTCAATTCCTTTGTGCCATTTGGTTTAAGTTCTATGACGTCTGCCCTAGCAATAGGAGAAAATTTTTTCTCATGGCGGGCTCCGTAGTTCTCCCCAGATAATTCCACCTAACGACAACAAATCTTACAAAACGACGACGATGATACTAACAATCACGATATGGCCAAGAGGGAGACAGTGTTTGGAGACGTTGATCAGCTACAGCAGAAGCCACCTACACAACTGCGACACGCCTTGCCACCGCCCGGAGCTGTTCGTTCATCTGCCTAACAACGGAAAGTCACCGTGTAGATATGTGACCGATAACGCTGTACGAATGATTTATTAATACACGTTCAATACTCCATCAATTGCGCCACTATTATGAGTATCCGCCCATCCGGCCGACGCATGTCCAATCTGTACTCATTGTGCCCTACGCAACAAACAAACACTGCCTCGTGTATCGTTGTCCACAAATGACAAACGAAATAGGAGCCGAACTGAGCGACGCCATGAGGCCACATGAATAGTTTCTTACGCCAGTACTACGAAACGACGACCTACTCGCCTTAGGTACGCTAGTTGGCTGGCTAGCCGGCTGAGTAGCAGCTCTGCGCTGCGGCATGTTGTTTGCAGTGTTAAGCTGGCAGTGACGACGATCACGATTTGAATGACACAACGAACAATCGCTCGCCGTCTCGTGGCTAAACCTTTGCATGGATAGCCGTTACTAGGTACGTAAACCGCTTATGATGGCGACGCGGCACACCACCACGCGTCGCTTTAGTGCAGCTATTTTTCTGCAGGTTGTCTATGGACGGACCGACCAACCATTACTCGGCGGTTGATGGCCTGCGTTGGATTCATCAACGTACTGCTAACGGACACGATAACGATTGGCATTATTTAACTGCAACAGCAATTCGTCGTAATTCAATTATACGGTGAATGAACAACCACAGAAGAACAAATTACGCCAGGTGGCGTTGGTAGAGGCTTAATGGCAACGACTGCAGTGATTCAATATTCCCAATTACGAGCATAGCAAGTGGGCGAAATTGCCAATCAGCTAACGAAAAGAGTACGACGGGGGCTAAACAAGCACAGGCCAATGAGGTAAATCTTTTTGCGGTTAAATTCAAAACGACAGTGATTACTAAGCAGCACACCGTACTCAGGCGTGATGACAATGCCACAAAACTATATAAACCCCGCTCGAATCCTGCCACATGAACGGTGGTTTTCTATTCAACAGACGCAAGCTATTTACATCCCCCACTCTAAATGAAGAACACGACATAAAACTTTGTCAGCTGCACTACCTTAAAGTACACAGCACTGTACAACCTGCCGACTTCGAAACACGCCAATATAGACGCGAATGAAGTAAGTAGAGTAGGTTGCGTCTGCGTGGCTGAATGTATCAACTTTCGTTCCTCATTCCCCATTCGTTCTCTCTACCTCTCCCACACTCTTACTCTCTGCTAAGTTAGATTTGTCCAAAAAAAATATAATTTATATCATATTTGGTCCACCATTTGTCGGATGCCATTAGGCTCTTGCCATATCTGACTGGTAACGAGTGCCGCTCACCCCTTGTGCGCGCTGGCTGAGAGATGACAGCTGTAACAAGAAAGCGCATCCATAAAGAGATTATTCGCTACTTGTTATTGACGTGAATAGTAGGCAATCAGTGCAACATCCTGCCTCAAATGGATACAATGTATAGAGTTATGTCTAACATGGAACCCTCATTGTCGATGTATCAACCCTACAAAACGAATTCGCTTAATAATTGCAAATAATTCACAACAGTGCACAAATATTGAAGGTTTTGTCTTTGATAGGCTAATTTTACCTTCCGTTAACGGCATACGCAAAATACTTCTGTTTGTTCATAAAGTATTTTCTCTAGGCTTAACCCTATTCAATCTTGTCCACTCGCTATGCGAGAAGGAGCTTCTAATAATAAATTCATGTAGCACCTATAACCTATAACAATGATATAACCACGTTAGCATGTTGGTTGTACGAACAACGGATTACAGTTAGAAAATGCGTTTTCAGCTTGAGTCTTCATAGAGGTCTACACACCGACAGTTTGGGCAAAAGCACTTTTCACGGATGAACACTGCACTAAACCAGAACAATTCCTCTGTGTTCCGTCTCCGTCAGCTGCCACCTATCAGCTGTTTAAACAGCTGACCCATCGATAGCCACTTGATTCGAAAGCTTCGCGTGCTGTGGCTCTGGTGCACATTAGATATTATTCTGTCGTTTTTCTCGATTAATATACGACGTAGTGGCATGCAGGCCACATTTGCATACATAAGGTGTATTCCTTAAATGACTGTTTCGTTGGATAAATTTTAGTTCTAAGTTCTTTTTCTTTAGTTCAGCCATATATTGCCATGCTTGTGCTACATGCGAATGCTTGGATCGGGCTATGTCAACGGGTACACGAACAGGCACACACAATCTCCTACGTCACATAGAAGCACAGGCGCAGATCTGTCGCCTCATCTTAGAAGTAATCAGCTTCATACTTCGGATATATTCCACGCATCACCGTTCCAATTGATAGAGATGAAACAACTTGGCTAACGAATATCTCGATGAGTGCTGACTACCA